TGTATTTTCCGAATATTTTCTCTAAGTTTCTATAAGATATCGTATTTCGAGAAACATAAAGTTACATTGTGCAGTAACACGCGATTAACGTCAATGGAAAAGACTCGATGCTGCAAATTGTCAAAGATTCCTTTCGTTGAAAAGGACTCTAAAACTTTATGTGTAAAGATCTAATAAAATGCTTTGTAGCGTATACATGATATCGTACGACCGTTTTTTTTCGCGAAAATGTTTCGCCCCCGCCGTTGCGCATCGCGTAAGGTAGCCGACGCCATATGAAATTACGGTAATCCGACGCTGTACACGTAATCCGAGCAGATAATTCAACTTAACAGCTTCGCGGTGAGCCGACCTTCGGATTTAACCTTGTCGCCTGCTTGTCGCTTCGATGACGAAGGAAATACGCGATGAAAATCCACGAGCGGTAGCTCGCGCTCATTCCTCTCTTTCCTTTCTCGTCGCGCTCTCTTCATCTGACGGCGAGACTTCGTGAAAAATTCACGGATGGCGTAGCAGAGACAAAGGGAACTTGCCACCCGTGAATAGAACGATCGAGGAAAAGTTCACTCCACAAATCCGCAGAGCTGTCGAAGAATCTGTCGTTAAAATTGAAAAGCTCGGAGCAACGGTGATCTATAATTCGCTTTTTTTTTTAACGTTAAAACATCTTTAGATTGGGATCTTGTACATATTTGCGACTTTTCGCCTTTAATTATAGAGTAACCGGATGATCGCGTGACGCGAAAATTTGCATTCCGAATTCAGAGTCGCGGAATTCGCGGTGACGAAAAGAAGGAGCTCTGCGAGCGATGGCATTGCCGGGGCTTCGGGTTCGGCTTCGCGGAAGAGTCATAAGAAGAATGCAGTCTTGTCGTCGAGTTACTGACGTACGGTACATCGGCTCGGGTATCTCGACTTTTTCTCCCCTCGTGACGCCGCGAAACCACGTGTCTGACCAGAGCGAGCGTCAATTATACGAGACTGATTTCGATAACGGCCGAACGAGAACGCTCATTACGCGGCCGATCCGACTCGGAATTTCAATTATCTTCTACACCGCACGATCTAATTTTCGATAAAAAAAAATCGTTGATTACGGTTGTAATAATTGAATACAATACAGGCGCAATTGTAAGTGCGATTCTAAATATATCTACAGTCTCGGGAGGGACAAGATAAAATTTCGCGAAACGGGAAATCTATACAATTCGCAACGTGCCAATGAATACGTTGCATAACGCGAAATATGATAGAGTTACTCTGAAGGCGCTTACGCAATGTGTTTACGTATTGTAACGCGGAATTTATGGAATGGACAAATCGGAATGATGAAGCCGCTAAAAAAGGACAGACAGCTTGTGATGTCGATCCGTAGGCGCGACATTCGCCGCGTAACGCAGTTATTGTCACTGTATTATATCTGAGCACCTTCTTTTTATAAGAAATAGAATACAT